TTCAGACTTTTTTTTACATTTCAAGCGATTACAACTTTAACGAAAAACTTCATGGGTTTGGCAAAGCTTGTAACATGTAGGAAATTTAACGTAGATTTCAACGGTGTCCTCGGATTTTAGCATTTGTAGGTTCGGTGTGATTGTTGTTTTCTAAAGTAAAGTCAAGGAATCCTGGAAAAATGAAAAAGGGAAATTCCTTCCCTACAGTTGTTGATCAGACCATTGTACATGGGACTTTTTTGTCAGTCTAGCGGTGTGAGATTCTCAGGCAAAGTTTGTGAAGCGAGTAGCCTAACACCCTGTATATATTTCCTATCTCATTGTTACATGTTCCTGAATTGAAGGTAGTTGCATTGTACTGCGAATTAAACAAAAATTATATATTCATTATTTATAGAACTTTATAATAAATAATCTTAACTTTGCAAAGAATAATTTAGGATAACTTACGATTAAATTTTTTAAAACAAATGTTTTACCTCTTTATTAATATTTTATTCAGTGCGTCTTTTCCTGAACCAGAGCGTTCTTCATTTTCATAAAGATTTTAACTTGTAGCTATATTTATGGAAATGTTTCTATAATAATACAATGTTATTAAATTATTTAAGACAAAATTCAGTTTCTTTCTGTTTAAATTGAATTTCGCCCTTTAATATTTTGGTATGAAATTCAATGATGTCAAAAAGCCAGCTGATTATGAAAAGTCAATTTTAAGTAATTCCGGCTGAGAAAAGTTGTTAAAATGCCGAGGACTTGAAATTATTGGACGGAAGTGAAAAGGCAGGAGTGTTTGCCAGAGGTGAAGAGGACTAAAGAGAGCCTCATTAGATCCTTGAGTAAACGGGAACGGCTGAAAGAAACGTGAAACCTTTCGCCCTTGTCATCCTTCTTAATTTGATTATTTCCATTCTGATCAATCTTAATTAAAGAAGTCGCTCTCATTGGAGTCTTGCCCGCTGAATTCGAATGGTTCTCAAGTTCAAATCGAGACCGTTTGAAAGGTGGGACACGTATTTTTCCTCAATAGGACGACCATACATTCTGCAAGAGCAAATCTTTGTAACATGACTTTTAAATTACAATGAACATCCCCTATTTTGTGTTGGCGTTTATTGAGTTGCAAACATGTTACAGTTGAACAAGTTCCAGTTTAATTAAATTTGTTTATATCTTCCCTCGATATTCACAGCCTTGCTGCTCAAAACCAATGGAGATTTTGTACCGATTTGTACTGCAGGGATGAGAAAAGTGGACTCTCATCCGTACTTTCTTAATAAGTATTGTTCAAAGACATTTCAGATAGTTATGCTTAATTATGAGGTAATGACACAAGTATTTCAAATGACAAAAATATCATCTTGATTTGCTAATAGTTTAAAGCGTCTACGAGGCCCATCATTGGAAGGGTCCGGGTTCGAATTTTATCGGCCTTAAATACGAATCCAAAATATTTACACTGTTTTCGTTTTTCAACGTAAAAACACTCGTTCCATACAACCTCGGAGTGGCGAACTCCTTAGATAATAGAAATAGATAATTGCTTTCAAATAATGTATCCCCAAAATGAAATTAGTTATGTTTAGGGTGAGGGATATGGTTAAAAGAGGTGTAGTTATTTTTATGACAAATTTAAAAATAACCTTAATTTAGATTCTTAGTCACTACTTATTAGTTTTATTCAAAATTATTAATACGGTTATCGACAGTTCCTCCCTTATAAACTTTTTACTTTTTACCCCTCCTGTAATAACAAGATGGCTGTTTTTTCTTATTTCAGACTTGAAAACTTCGGCATCGCCAACCCTCAATTCTTTGCTTTTATTTTAACCACTTTCTCGCGTTTTCATCGTTCTAATTTAATTTCATGTTTCTCCAGCCAACTTATGATTTAACATTACGATACAACAGCTTTCTGTCCCTTAGGGCCTTGACAATTGTGTATAAAATAAAACAAATAACAAATACAGACACAGAAACACTGAAGCACATGATAGTCTCGTTAGCATTCACCATTCTCCAGAGTGCTCAGTATTCCTCGGGGGGATACGCCTCTCTATTCACCCTAATAAATTACATCCATTATATTTCTTGGTCCGATTAACCAAATAACTTGTTTCAATTAATTAATCTTTATGTGACGAAGAATATCTTCACTAACGACATCTTCATTACACGACATTTGAAAAGTGGCAAAAAAGGAGGAAAAATTCGAAATGTAGGTTGAAGTGGGAAGTTGGTGTCCGAGTGGATCGAAGTCACGATAGCTCAACTGATAGAGCAGCGGCGTATTTATCCGAAGGTCGTGGGTTCGAATCCCGCTTGTGCCACTAACTTTTTCATTTCAGCTAAAACCTTACATACTAATAAATTACATTCATCAGACTTTATTCTCGCGACCCAGGTACTACATATCCCTCGGATTAATTGGAGAACAAACACCTAGTTCACCCTAATAAATTACAGTTATTTGATATTATGCATTGATTTACACAACCCGAGCGTACTAAATTTTTCGTTTACTACTTTTGAGCACTCGATTACTATATCATATAGAATTTTTTTATACCTACTGAATATTATTCAACTAACTTTGGATAAAATACTCCTTTTAATAGAAAATTGAATGTAGCAGACAAATTCTATCCAGATTTTTTCTCATCATTTCATAATTCCGTTTGCCTCACTCCATTAGTTAATAGCTTCGGTTTCAGTAATCAATATATTTGTGTTATATATTATATCAGAATAATTGAATAGCTTATTATTTTTACTTACTTAATAGGCATGTTTTTCCTATGCAATTATTTTGTACTATTGTTTATATAATATCTTAAATATCTTTCAGTTATTTCATTACTTGTTTTCGCAGTTTATATACAATGAGAAATATGAACTTTTTATTTTATTTTATCTTAATTTTGGGCTCCTCAGAGGCCGAGTGGTTAGGGCATATCACTCATATTGCCACGCTAGCGGTCCTCGGTACGAATCCCCGCACAGCCCATAGATTTTTAATTAATAATAGTATGACAATTTATTGTAATGTGGGTTGACTTTTATTCAGGATACCCTGCGAAAAGTTAGACGTTAAGCCCACCTGTATGGCAATAATTATTTTACTTTATTTATTTACTTACGTAATTTTTGTTTCTTTGTTTTCTTAGTTTTGTTTTTATAAAACAATGTTTTGTTAATATATTCTATATTATATAATTTATTTTTTTAATTGGATTTATTCTTTAAGATCGGCTGGTGAATAATAAATGCACAAGGAATACGTAAACCCCTATTTTAAAAACGATATAAATTACTTACATTTCGCATTAAAGGGAGTTAAAAGCGTGCTTAAAACGAATGCAAAAAAGGCTCATTTGTAAGTATGTCAGGTTTCAATGCAGGACTGCTGGATTCGAACCCGGGACCTTTACCTTATAGTGATGACCGCCGTGTCAACTGCTAAACTGTTAGGCCACCAATCTATATTTTTGAGCAATAATTTAGTAGCAAACAGATTATTTTTACCACACTCTTTAATTACATGCTTTGATGCGACCAGTAATGTACAGGTAGCACAAAGAGGAGGTGATTCTTTAGTTATCAGATATCCATGAGTGAGCGTACAGTGCCCTATTCTTTGATTGGTCAAGGCTGGTTCTTATTATTTTGGCCCCGGCAAAAAGAGTCCGGTCTGGTTTCGGCTTTATTTCCCATAGTTTGTTGTTTTATATCTCGGTACATGCTTTAGGCCATTGCTGCCTTTTTTCTAATCTGAGCAATTGTATCAGTACGTGGGGATGAAGTGTAAATGGACGTTTCCATGGGTGACACGTTTCTCGGCAATATCTGCATTTTCACTCCCCCAAATCCCACAGTGTCCCGGTAACCAGATAAACAAGGCTTTCGCATTTTTGGCTTTTAAAGCATTGGGGGGAAACGATAACATCCTGAACCATGGGTTGTTTTGAGAAGGGGTCCATGATTGAAAGGAGCGCTGTTAGCGAGTCTGTACATACTACCAGTAGGGCAGTAAGTGGGGCAACATTATTCAGACATTTTTCAATTGCTGTGAGATCGGCAATGTAGTTACTAAAGTACTTGTGAAGCGAGAACATGAAAGTATGTACAATTGCACCGGTACTCTTTTCATTTCTTGACCATTCTGTGAAAACAAGCGTTGGTCTCGAGAGAGTGGCTTTAATTCTGAAAACTCTTTTTTTTAATATATGTATGGAGGTTGTGGGAAATATGTCAATTGCTTGTTGGAATGCTAACATTCGGTACTGATAGTACCCAGAATGTTCATTTAAATTTCATTAAAATTGGCGATCCCACGTCCGAAGCCTTCCCTTGAAACTAAAATCGGAGATGTGACAAAAAGAGATGGAAAAACGAATGAAATCTGCGAGAGAATTATTTTAATTTGGGGAGTGGCGTTTCTTAGTAGGAAAATACCATAAATACTACCATGAACTTGTCAATTATAAATCTGTACAATACATTGTATAATTGTATTAAATTTATCCAACCAAGTCATTAAAAGAGAGTGTAATACTTTATCGACGCGTATAATTTCGCATGATAGCCTTAATTGTCTGTCATGAAATTAAGATGATTATTCCTTCTTCTGAAATTATAAAATATTTTCATTACATTTAATACTATATCTTCCGTTAAAATATAAAAGCTGTTTTAATATTTATTTATTTAGAAATCGTGAGATGCGGTCTGGTGTGATGTAGGTTTCAGAAAAACATTTTCTTTATCGTGCCAACGTTTCGATCTCCCTGAAGATGATCTCAATAAAGATCGAAACGTTGGCACGATAAAGAAAATTTTTTTCTGAAACCTACATCACACCAGACCGCATCTCACGATTTCTAAATAAATATCGATTAACAGTCACTATTCACCACACACTTTAATATTTATATTACAAGAAATATATTGCTGCGGTGTTTTGTACCAGTATTTAATTTTTTATTTTATTTACTTTCCAGGCCGGCCGTTTCCACTGATCAACTGCACCCTAGTAAACCAAACGTCCGAATCTCTCCAAGTAGAATGTGTTGAAGGATTTGACGGCGGTATGCCGCAGTGGTTCACGATGGAACTTCTAGAACTTCCGAATATGGTGGTGAGGTTCAACGTATCCTCGAGCCGGCCGGCGTTCACCCTCGTTGGCATCGAAAGTGGTGCCTCTTATCAAGTGAACCTATACGCTGTGAACGGAAAAGGAAGGTCCGAGCCCCTGGTTCTACAAACTGTCAGTTTCAAAGGAGTTGCGAAATACACAGGTAGATTTTTATAATACTAGATATTTTTCCAGATAGCTTCATTATTTTACTAGTCTGGACTTCAACCCGACGGGTTTCAATACGCATTTCTTTTAAGCATCAAACTCTAAAATGATACCATACTAAGCAAATTTTCAAGGTCATTTAGGTGTTCAAAGCGAGGCCAAAATGATGTCATTTTTCGACATAGTTTTCTCGAAATCGTTTGGTTTATTACAATCTTTTCTAATTTTATTTTGCTCAGTATACTAGGAACAATGGGTTTTTAAAAATATTAAAGCGTTAATTTTAACTTGTAACAACAACCTAAAATTAAAGTAAATTTAAAACTTTTATTTTATACAAGAAAAATAATTTCACTTATCTTTTTTCAATTTTTAAAAGACTTACCAAACAAAAATAATCGTTTCAATACGATAATTAGTTTTGGAGAAAAGTGTCCAGAGATATGAAAAAATACAACTTTTCGTTTGAATTTTTCCCGTTCCCGCCCACTTAATGATATAAAAACGTTACACACCGATTCCTCTTGCAGTATGGACTTCTTTATGATGTTTTCGATAGGAAGGTAGTTTCTGCCTCGGAATATATAAAAAAAATATAAGTCTTCTTCAGGCAACGTAAGGAAAGCGAGACGCTAGTTCCTCGATGAACGGTGCACCAGAACACTTGATTCGAACTTGCAAAAAATTATTTTGAAAAATTCTATAGTTCTAAATCTCATTGGACCACTTTTATTCTGTCAGAAAATGGTTTTACTTAAATTTAAAATAATAAATACACTTTTTGGTCGCTATCCCTTGACTGATTGTTAAAAATAACAACTTGAAACAATTTCTTTAACGAAAAAGAAATGCAAAACACAAAACGTTTTCAATCGCCTGACCAATCTTTAGTGATCTAAGTTACTAGTTGATAAAGTTTAATATAGTGATCAACTAATACAGTTGATATAACCAGCTTTTATATATTGTTAACTCTTAAAAATCATTGGGCCCGTAATGTTTAGAATAAATTTCACGAGATCCAACCTATTGGATGAGTGTAATAAAATAAGTTTATTAGTTTTGTGTTGTTTACAAATAAGTGATTTAAAGTAAGATCAAAAGAAGCCTGTTTTGGGGTTACATGAACCTCGATAATCGGGAATTAATTTACGTTATTCACATCTTTGTATCACTCTCCCCCTCCCCTAAAAATTAAGTGTCATTTTGGAAATACTTTCATATCCTTACATACCCGATTGTTTTTCTATCTTATTTTTTTTTTAAATTGTATTCTTAATTTTTGAAATAACTTATAACTAGAAACAGCCTACTACTAATGCGTCAGACAATATTCTGCAGTAGATAGATAGCTCACATCCTGACGCATGGCTTGAACAAATGTTAAAAAAATAACCTTTCACAAATAATGAATGCTTCCATATGTGGGCTAAACTATTATTAAAGCTGTAATAATTAAATTTAAATCCATTGGCTGAAGGAAATGAAAAGAAAACATATTACCACAGTCATCAAAACATACACAAAACACAGAACAAACATTTTTAATACCTGATTATTTCAGTCAGCTTTTATCTTTGAAATATAGCTATAAACGTTAGAAGAAACATCAAAGGTTCAAACATTTTTTCTTTATTAAAAAAATATCAACCAATTTATGAAGTTTCAACCTGTTTGACTATTTTTCAATACCAAGGGATCAAAATTCACTGCCAAGTATTTGTTTTAAACTTTAATGCCATGACGAACAGTTTTTTGATGTACTCGAATAAAATGGACATTACCATAAAAGATAAAATTTAAAAAAAATCGTGTGTATTCGAAATTCGTAAGTATTAGTCTTAAGAAGTAAACAAAGTTTATACAAACCTGTGGTTTATTTATGCAAATAACAGTAGGTTTCATTAAGACTTCAACTTATTATTACTAAATTTAGTGGTGGTGGCGGTATGCGAGTTTGATTGGCACTTGATCAATTTACTGAGTCTGTCAACTCTCACTGGTTTACATATTACCTATTTATGTCAAACCAACGTTTCTCTGTCCAGTCACCTAGGAGTGCACGTCAATTGTTGAACTTGGCCTTTCATTGTGGTTCATTAGCAAGGAGACAAAAACGTCTCTTCGAGTCTAGATTTGTTCGTACGGCGTTGAATTTTGTATAAAGGCGCAAGTTAACTTTAAAAGCTAAAGTTTTAAATTATATTGTAAGGGAGGGGTCGGGTGCACAGGGGGAAAGAAGCAGTCCCTAAAGTCTCCAGGGAAAACTATCGTAATATCGTTCTACATTTTTATTACACCATACTTTGCACAAAAGTTAAACCAGACATTAGCCAACTTTGCCACTGAAGATATATTAATTATGCCGTGAAAAAGGAGGAAGGAACCAAGTGGACGTCTCTTTAAAGTTAGTCCACAATTTTTCCCATTATTGCGCGCTTTTGTGGAAAGGGGGCTGGAAAACATCAGTAGGGGCTCATTTATGCTTGGCATTGTCTAGCAATATACAGGCAGATTTATATTATAGAAGGAAATATTTATAACACTTATACTCAGAATAAATATCTTTTCACAGCAAAAACATTTTTCTCTAATTTAATTAACATACATAAACTTAGAAATATATTATTTAATATGAAATCCTACGAATCATATTTCTTTGTTTTCCCCTTTATCTCGTTAATGTTCAAAAAATTTACTCTTAAAACAATAAAGTTAGTTGTTTAACCAAATAACACAATTTTTATGGTTTCCTTTACTTTACTTCCATCCCTTCACTTATTTTATTGTTTTTATAAGCGTTTTCGTGTCCCCTTTTCGTACGCCCATACAAAGCGGAGTCGGTAACAGATCGAGGCGCTCAAATGGCTGCAGGTTGAAAAATACCCGTAAAAAAGCAGGAAAAAGTACAAACAGGCAGATGGCCGGCGATGACCTCAGTTGGTTGTCAGCCCCTACAATTCCACTTCATATACATTTTATAAGTCTTATATATAACCTTATATTTTTTATATTTATATAAAGATAACCCTTTTTTAGTAAATAATGTAACTTTTGATGTTTTTGGTTGTAAGCTCGTATATTTATTTATTCTGTAAAAGTTAATCGTGATCAAAGATTTTTTTAAGCCATGAATCTTGTGGTTTAATTTACAATTCGATTGCTATAAATAAAGTCGTCATGTGGGATTATACCTCTTGCATTATTTAGGGATTTAAATAAACGTTTAATTTTTAATTAATATACGTACGCTTTATCAAAACTTTTTACCCATTAGCGAATTGTCAATTAATTGAATAGAGAATAACTGAAATATAAATTTAAAAAGTTCAAAGATGACGATGATTTTGGGGAAAAAGCGGCGCCCGCTATGAGGGAGGTCTAAAGAGCTCGAGCATAATAATAATTTACTCATCCCTTATGCCCGCCCGCTCCAGTCACTTTTTCTTGTACATCTGGCGCAAGTTAAACGCCCGGACTCAAGTTTTGTTTAAATGAACTCCAAAGTTAGAAGTTCACTGCAGAAAACGTCGAGGTTCCCATCCAGCAATAAGTTTCCACTCTATAGTCGTGAATCCCCCGAGAGACAGGCTTTAACGAAAAATGATAATGAACCTGCTCATAATTGCGAAGTTGAAATAGCACGATTATCATTTGTATTATAGATGTTTCTTCAGACACTTATTCCGTGGTAAAGATTTAGCATCTTCATTATTCAATTAATTAAAATTAAAACAACAACGGGAGATTTATTATTGCCAGTACAATCCAACGATTTAGCTTTAGACATCAAAACAAAAAATCTGCAGGAATACAACAATTACAATTAATCTAAGCGTAACCGATATTGTAATCTAAGCAATGCTGCTGTAATGGAGAACCGTTATGAGAAGCCAATACAAAGATTCCATTACAACGACAATTCAAATTAATTACTACTAATAGCTGTGTTACTGTTCGAACCCCCTGGCCCTGTTATTCAATCGCACAAATAAATATTTGCAACAGAATTTAACGGTAGTCGAACAATAACCAATCCGTTTCGCCCCTCTAATTTCCTTTATTTTGTATTTTTTTATTTACCCGTAATCTTTTATTAACACCTTACAATGCAAAAAATACTATATAATTTTACGTTTGCGCTACAATACAGGGGGTCCTTTTTAGATGGCCAGGCTGAATTTCTTTTGAACCAATGGTGCTATAAAAAAACGTATTTATAGCCTAGTTTCAAAATTTTCCGTTCTTTGAAGAAAAATTATACAAGGTATTTCAGGCCCAGTTCAACTTCGAAATTTCAAATAGGACTCTACATTCCTGACACTTTATTTTAAAGGATGTTTTGCGCTGAAAACAATAGTTCAATTAGATTTTAAATTGGCCAAAAAATGGAAAAGTTATGACAAAAAGTTTGAAAAAACGCCTAAAAAATTCCAATAATTTGCTTCTTCATTAGAGTAAACATTAATTGCCTTTGTTGTTTATATTCTGTCTTTGTCCAATTCGCACTACGAGAGGAAATCTTACTTCCTGTAGGTAAATAAATTTTACAATGGTGCCTATTCGTTGCGTTCAGTATTCTATTCAAAATGAACGGAAAGAGCACATTTTTTCGATCAACAGTGAGTTGGTATGTACGACTGCTTAATGATAATGCTGGTATTGCGCGTCGTGCAGTCCAGTTGTACTCTTAGAAATTTCCTCTTAGTAAACCACAAAACGTTTATTCCTGTTGTTCGCAATATGAGCGGATACGGATTAGTTGCTGTTCCATACCAAGAAACCGGCAGCGCGATTTCGACGATGAGCTGAATATTTTACTGTTGGTTCGCGAAAATCAAAATTCCTCTCTCCAAAATGTTGGAACGGTTTTAGGGTGTTCAAAAATTAAAATTACGTACTCTGGAATTAAAATTCTAAGCCGCATCGTTCTCATCTTGTCCAAGGACTTCGGGACTCTGATTCCGAAAGGCGTCTAACATCCCTTGCACAAAT